TTTGCATAATTTGCCCATTTTAAAAATAGAGTTTTTTTTTCTTATGAAAAGTTTTAAGAGTTGAATATGGTGGTGCATGCCTATAATTCCAGGACCCTGGGAGGCCGAGGCAAAAGGTTAGTAAATTTAAGCCTAACCTGGGCAACATACTGGCTTAGGTAGACCCTGTCTCAAACTTTAAAATAAAAATATCAAAAAGGGCTGGGGATGTAGCTCAAGGTGAAGCCCTGGGTTTAATTCCTAGTACTGCAATCAATGAATCGATCATCAATCAACCAATCAATCAATAAAGTTATGAGTTCTTTATTCTGAACACAAGTTCTTCAGGTGGTTTCCAATGCTGTATGTTGTCATTTTTGTCCATTCTTTGGAGTTTTCTTAAAATTAATCATATCATTTGTGAATAGAGCCAATTTTATTTCTTCCCAATCTATATGCTTCTTATTTCTTTTTTCCCCTATGTGACTAAGAATTCAGTAGTTTTTTTCCACTGTTCAGTGTGATATTAGCTGTAGGTTTTTAATAGTTTTCTATTATACCTCAAGATTTTAAATTCAACCTTCTTCTTTCAACCTCATTTTGAAGTTCCTGTGCTACTCCCTGGAACACTCGTAACAACTGGCTTATTTCAGTTTTTATCTACAGTGTATCTACAGTAAACAGTACTTGCCATGGCTCAGCTTCTGTTGCCAAAAAGAGATGTGCCTTTTATAATAGGCTTTAAGTTTTTTCATAAGCTAGTTTTCTTCTAAATTGAAACAAAACACATTTAATATCATTTTATTTCAGCTCATCATACTTTGAAGGATGAGAGCTGTTACTTGATCATTTTAGTTATTGAGTGCTCACATGGAATGAGTATTGGTGTGTATCATGATCCAAAGGAATATAGTCCTAGGACCAACAGAACAATTTTAAATGTCCAGAAAGAATAATTCCACCCTTTGTGAAAAGTTCAGCACAGCCCAGGAATTTGCAGTTGATTTGGAAGGTTGGAACTGTCCTGTTTCAAATGTTTCCTTGAATTAGGTCTTTTCTTTTATACTTTGTGCAGGGCTGGGGACATAGCTCAGTGGCATAATGCCTGCCTGGCAAATGCAAAGTTGTGAGTTGGATTTCAAGTATCCCCCACCCCCATTTTTTTTATCCATTGTTGGGGAGAGCTGGGCTCAACCTCCTCAGCTCCTGGCAGTGGGACACATCCTCAGCATTGTGTCCAGGCAGCACCAGGTCTACCTCTCCCTCACCAAGGGGGCACAGGCCCTGAGGGTGACACTGCCGGCCAAGCTGTATGAAGGGAATGGGACTCGTCTCGCCACTAGGATCCCCAGGCACAGAGGTGATACATGAAGCAAAACATTTGGTAGCCTAGAAAGCCATTCTCTTTTGTCTCCCCACCTCTCCATGGGTTTATTACTCTTTGCTAGGATGATATATCAGTCCAACTGCTTATCACTTCGAGTCCTCATCACCGATCTCTTCCACATACATCACATTTCATGAATAAGCACCGAGATTTTTCTCCTGTTAATCCAGATTTTAAATCAGTTTGACTTACGCATTCCAATCCCTGAACCAAGAGGGGAGAGGGAAGAGGAACAGTTATTTTCCACCCCTACACTTGGATGCTCTTTCACATTAGCAGGAAGTTGTTTACAAGGCATGGAGATGTTGGATGGGTGAAACTAGACAGAAAGTTGAATTTTCTAGTATCTGTGGCTCTTCTGGCTGTCACTAGACGATCACCCCAAGTCTGATAATACCACTACCCAATGGGAACACCCGTTATCTTCATGTGGGGTCCTCTGAGCTCACATAATTTTTCTAGAGAGGTTGTTCTGCTCTCCTTCCTGGGATGTCTGCCCAGGCTCTAGATTCTGCATGAGTCAAGAGGATGAAGGACAGTGTGTGTCTCTCATGATCTCCCTACTTTCATACCCAAACCTTACCTCACTGCTTTAGCTCATGACCCCAAGTTTCTAGTTCAATTTTTCCAGAGAATAAACTCCTACTTTCCTGTGAAGATGAATCAGTTAACTTTTGCTAGCACACACACACACACACACACACACACACTTCCAAAACTCTCATGTCACCCCAAAATTTCATGATTTTAAAGAAAACACAACTTATGTTGCTACTGTCCTGTGGGTCAGACCTAGGATGGGTTCTGCCAGCCAGGTCATACACTAATAAGCTGAGGTCAATTGACCTGTGTGGTTCAGTCCCCCGTGCCTCATTCCTGAAGGTATAATCAACTGCTAGCCCAGGGGTCCTGGTGATGCTTCTGTGCAGACTTTCATCTTTTCCCACTTGGTAGGTCACAGTTCTGGACCACATCACACTTCTTAAATGAATGATGACCTTGGTTTTGTGGCAATGAAAAGAACAGTTGGTCTAGATCCGGTTCTCTGTGTGGTAGTCAGGCAGAGAGTCCTTTATCCAGTTTCTAAATTAGAAACTAGCCACCTGCAGGCACAGACAGACTGATTATAGCAGAAGAGTGAAGTTTGATGGTTCATCCAAACAATTCTGGATGTTCTTACTGCACTTGGACCTGCAAATCCGAAGGGATTCTTTATTTCTTGCAAGAAACTATGTCTCAGTCTCCCAGGAGCTCTTTCCAAGCCCAGCTGACAGGCACACTAGTGGCTGGGAAGCTAACCCTTTGGAGCTGTGAGATACTGATGGTGGAGCTTCTAATAATTATTTGGATGGCAAGTGTTTATTTATCTCTATGGTGGGCTTTGAGTATGTTTTTTAAGCCATACTCCAAATAATATCATCCATTTGCTTTTCTCATGACAGATTAGCTTGAAATTTGAAGAAAAATCTAATTCTTCACATTAGAGCTGTAATAAAGCGTTTGATTCTATTTGGGGTACCTGAAAACTCAGATTTCAAGCCCTGTCCCTGTCTTCCTCTCTGCCTAGCATCTAGGCCAGCTGAGAAGACCCCCTAGTGCTCTCTCTTTTAGTGAGGGCAGGAGATTCAAACCCCCAGGTTAGGAACAAATACTGACCCAACTACAGTCCCCCTTTAAGATCCATGGAGAAATTGGTGATAGGACCTCCCCCCATAGATACAAAAATCCAGGGATGCTCGTGTTTCTTAAGTAAAATGATGAATGATGTAGTATTTCTGTGTACTCTACACACATCCTCCCTTTCACATCTTTAGATAACTTATCATACCTGATACAATATAAATGTAGTGTGAATCATTGTTGTATTGTACTGTGAGGAATAATGCCAAGAAAAAATAGACTGTACATGTTCTGCACAGTGGCTAATTCTTCTGGTGTGATTCTGTGGATATAGAGGGCCAGCTGTTCTCACCTCCATCACCTCTGCAGGCCAGCTTCTGCTCCTTGCCTTCAAGTCACTCCCTTTGTTCATTTTTCTACTTCCCCCACTTTCTAGCAAATTTGCAGAAATTATAACTTTCTGATGTTAAATTTTCACATGTTATAAATGATGCAAATATTTTCTACAAGACTGTCATTTACATTTTATTTTGCTCATTTCCTTTTGCAGTGCCAACACTTTGCCTTTTAAAATGCCATATTTGACAATTCTTTATTTTTTGATTTGGTATCATTCTTAGAAAATACTCCCTGTGCAAGGCGTGGTGGCGCAGGCCTGTAATCTCAGCTCTCGAGAGGTGGAGGCACGAGGATCTCGAGTTTGAGCCCAGCCTGGCCCACATAGCGAGACTGTTTTCATCCCCTTGGCCTCACCTCAAAATTATGAGGTTGTATTTTCAATCCAGAATTCCTATCAGATGTCTTTTTGATTTTCTGGGTCTGTCTCCGCCATTCCTTACATTTGTGTCTGTGTTGTGTCTGGGAGAAAGTCTTACTCCTTCGGTTTGACAATTATACCTTCAGCTGTTCGTTCTGTTTTCTGCCTGTTTTCTAGCCTATTTTCCTTTTGGCAGTCATTTTAATTTCCAGTAAGTCTGTTGGAGAATACCCTTTAATAAATAAAGTGGCATCTACTTATACTGTTCTAGGGATGAAAACCCTTTCCTTTTGCTGTAGTAGTTTTGTTTTCTTGGGGACAATGTCTGTTTGTTAAGTTCACTGCCTTTTTCTTGATGTGATTTTCCTCAAATGGTCTCTGTTGTCTGCCCCTGCGTGTGAACCTGAAGGTCCATGTCAGAGGCTGGACTTCCCCTTCCCCAAAGCCACTCTCCGCATGGACCCATGGGAAAACTACAGTATGTGATTAAAGTCAGAAGGAGGGGACTCGGTCCTGGCTTAAGGGCTGCTCAAAAGTGTACAGTCCCTGGGCTTGTGTTTTGCTGTCCCTCCCTGCCCAGGGAGATTTTTCTTCTTCAGACATGCCTGTGAATCCCATGCTGGGGACAAAAACCACAAAGTCAGCAACTCTACACGCAGGGCAGGGAGAGAAAGGGTGCTGGTCCATAATCCTGGACACAGCCTAGCAACTACCTGGATGCGCTCCTCAAACTGCCTCTTGGAATCATCACTTGGTGACAGTCAGCTTGGAATTTCTCAAGGACTTTGTTAAGAATCTATCACATCGTGATACCTTATTTTTTTTCATCAACCAAAACCCATGTTTCCCCTCCAATTTCTATGCTTATCAAGAAATGTTCCAAGTGCATTTGCGGCAAAATGCAACATCTCTTTACACCCCATTTATTATATGCCACTCCAACTTCCCCCAGTTCACAGTGTTCTTCTTTAGAGGAATTTGCCTATGTATCTGCAGACAACTTGCTTTTGCCATTGTTCTTTTTTTTTTGATACCGGGAATTGAACTCAGGACCTTGTGCTTGCCAGGCAGGCGTTTGTGCCACTGAGTTATATCCCCAGCCCAACTTGCTTTTGTTGTTATTTCTTCATATTTTAGATTTTCAGACTCTCTTTAGCCTTCTTAGACACTCCATAAACTCTCATGTTCCTAATTCCTCATCTTATGCTGTCTTGATGTTTATATTTGATTTTCAAAAGATAAATATTCATTACTTACATTGTTAGGATGATAGAAATGTCAGTATCTATAGCTGAGTTTTATAGAATGCCTTGACTTTTCCTTTCTTATACAAACTTCTTTTTCTGAGAAATAATGTAAATTTTCATTATTTAACTTGGTTTTTAAATATACATACTATATATAATTTTATAT